GAGCGCCACGGACTTAAGCGACAAGCCTAACCACGCGCGCGACACCGACCGTGTAAGTTTACGCGAGTACACGAGTTGACGGGCCCTCAGATTTTCGGATCTCAACAACGGCTGATATAATATACAAATATTTTAGTTATATTGCAGTTACAAAAGAAAATTATGTAACGTAAACATAAATAATGTATAACTTTTGTTATATTGCGTGTTGCTCCTTATAGGTTATTATGCACATTATGTATATAAATATATTATTCTCCGTGTGCTGGGTTTATTGCTGTAAGTGCCAGTGTACAATGAGTCGATCATTTAGTCGTTAGTCAGAGTATCATAATTGTTAAGGCAATCAAAGTCTGTAATCGACGGTATTGGCCAATGACCATAGCCAAATACCCTTTCACGACTTAGGTCGGATTCAGACTGAACGCGATGAGCGATGAGCGACGAGCGATATCAAATGGGCGTACAGTCTTTATAGGAAAACTATACGCTTTCCCATATAACCTGTACGCTCATTACGTATGTGTATGGCCCGGTCTACAATGAGTTGTTAGTCGTTAGTCAGAAGTCGGAACTATGTATATGTCAGTCCTTTTTCTTCCACCCAGAAAGGAAAAGAATCAACATATAGTTGCGACTTCTGACTAACGACTAACGACTCATTGTAGACCGGGCCTATCGTATACATATCGTAAGTCCGATCGTAACCCTAACTTTACGATCCGACTTACGATTGCTTACGATACTGACTGACCAACGACTATATACATATAATAATTTAATCATTGTAAACTGGCACTAATATTTTATACAGTTAACTCTAGTTGCATTAAAATAATATATTAATTTAGATGTAATTACCTTTTTATCTCTGTTATCCGATCATACACGTACCGCTTCATTCATCTATATGATATATACTTCCCATGCTACACAAATGCATTCCACAGCACTCACAAGTAAAATTCCTTAGTTGTGTGTCACTGACTTCGCAGTTTCTCTGTATATAAGAGTTAACCAGTAAGCTAAAGTCTGGATTAAAATATTGCAAATTATAAACCTTACAGAATATCGGAAAAGTTTTTATAATTTACATTGTTAAAGTCATGAGGAGGGTAATTCCTCTGAGATGCCACAGCTGAAGATTCAGTTTCACTGCGTGATGTAGAGTCATCAGATACATCATGTTTGTTTTTTATTTCGTTTATGAAACGAGTCGATTTTGCAGACTTTTTACAAGACATATCAATATGTGAGGTGGTCTGTACAAGAGACGAATTATCTACAGATGAATTACTGGACTTTTGTTTTGACAAAGAATCCGTCATACTGATAGAACTTCCACTAGATAGTCTTCCCAGTTTGATATCCTGATTACATTTTATTATTTCTTTGTTTTCTTTGGGATTATCTTTTATACAGGGTGAGGCATTTAAAACTGTTTTTCAGAATATTTGGAAAAATACAAATCGGATTTAAAAAAAGTTGCAATAAAAGTTGTTCACCTCGAAGAGGGTCATCCATTAACATAAAGCTCGATCCCCCTGCACCACCCCCGGGGGCGGGAGGGGGGTGACTTTGAAATCTTAAATAGAAACCCCTATTTTTTATTGCAGATTTGGATTCTCCGTGAAAAAATATGTAACTTTTGTATGAGACATTTTTTTCGTTTCATGATAGATGGCGCTGTAATCGGCAAAAATGAAAATGAGTTGAAAATTGTTGAAAAATGGTAATATCTTAAAAAAAGTGTGCAAATTAGAAATTTGCACATGGCTTCCTCATGGAGGAAGCTTTATGAGCGAAATCTAATTTTCTTCGATGTTTCTTGAAAGTGTGCAAATCAGAAATTTGCACATTGCGTCTACCCTCCTGCAATGCATTCTTACACCGAAAAAATTATATTCTACATTATAGAATATTCTGATATACTACAGAGTATTTCCCACTAAAATAAGCGCCAAGTATAATAATTTAAAAGTAAGAGGATTTCCCTCTAACAAAATGAAATATTCTAAGGAATTAGAATATACCTCTAATGTAGCTAACTAGCATAATAATAGAATATATTCTAATAATGTAGTATATATTCTGTAAATAATTTGAAAAGGAATTCTTGTAAGGGCTGAAATTCAATGAAAAAAATAAGGAAATGCATAGGAATTAGGAATAAAGACTTAAATAGGATAAGAACATTGCTTACCTTAGGTAAGTCTTTATTTTTAATTTTTGTATAATTCCTTATTCTTTTCAATGTATTTAGAGCAAAAAGGTGGCGAGAAAATGTTAAAGTAGACAAGTGGAATACGCAATATGTTTTGTGTATTTTTTTACAAAATATCTTAATATATGGAATCCTATATGTAAATGCTGAAATAAAAGAATCGCTTACAATACATGGATACATGAAATAAAAAGAATCGCTTACAATACGTGGATACATGAAATAAAAAGAATCGCTGACAATACATGGATACATGAAATAAAAAGAATCGCTTACAAATAAACTTACAATACGTGTCTAAAAGTCACATAGGTATTTCCATCAGACCCCACATGAGCAATGGATGGATAAAAAGATACAAGATCTTTGTACTCAATCAGGAACCATTCTGCAGTGGGCCTAATTTCATAGGAGTGCAAGTGTTCATTGAAATTAACGGTCCGTAATCCTGACAAGAGAAAGAAAGGTCGCTTTTGTGCGTTTTGTGGTCTTACTATCCAACACAAGTTTCCAAATATAGGCAAGTCCTCTGCGTAATTAATAACAAGGATCATATTAGATTTGTAGCAGGTACCACAAATAACTGCTTCTTTGACTGCAAGTGATTGTTCCAATTCAGTAGGTAAAATATTTTGAAACATTTCAAAGTTCTCACAATTTACAAGCCTGCGTTCCTTTGGATGGTACTGAATGTTATTTGAGAAACCTCGCTTACTCAAAATCCTTGCACAACATGCAAGTGCATATCTTTTTGCAATTGAAAGAGGTAAATTTTTACGGCAACTCATATTATCTGCTATTCTCTTTATGACAGGGCGATGCTTTCCTTCTAGTCTCATTGACCAAATATTTATCATTGGTCCTACGAAATTCATAATACGAGGATAATGCACCATGAAATGATGTTTAGGTTTCAAGGTCTTATTAAAAACTCTACAATACATCTCATGATGTTCGGCAATTAAAATTGAAAGGTACTCGGTTAACTGCCGTCTAACATATGGAGCTGTCACAATGTCTAGTATTTCAGCAAGAACTATGTATACTCTCCAAGCTTCATCATGCTCAGGCACCAAATCTCCAATTATTAAACCTAAGTGGCATACAAAAAACATCATTTCAGATGCAGACATTTTTAACTTTTGATTGCGAATGTGATCTGCAGCAATTAATGAGGGCTTGTCACCTGAATTACCATAATCAAAGTTCTGAACACGATCATTCAGAGTCTCAAGATTGAAAAAACCCATATGATTAATGAGATAGTCTAATATAGCACATAAGTCATAATGACACACTCCTTCAAAAAAATCATGCATTAAATCGCACACAAGATTCTCATTGTCAGTGACATGGTAAGAGTTTAGAACGTGTCATATACAACGAGTCTTAATTCCTGTTTGAGAAACATTGTTACTTAGTACATCATCTTCATAATTTATTCTATTGCGAAGCATTAAAATATTCTTTCTGAATTGCCTTCTCATGGTATTTTTGTGTTCTTTACAAAATCTGCAATAATAGTGTGCATTAAATGATTCCACAAAGCCAGTTATGGCATGCTGCCCTAAATTATCTCCTAGAATTTGAGACAAAGCAAAATAAATGGTATGCTCTGATTCTGTTTGAATGACAATACCATTTATTTCTAGATTTCTTAGTTCATTAATAACAGGTTCAAATACCTCTCTATTATAGCCATTTCTATGATCACTTAAGAATACACAAGCAACAAAAATATTCTCCAATGAGGAAAGCAAATATTGTGGAATGCATGGGATGCGATAATACATTATTCCCAAGCTGTGGTCACCTGAATGGGAGCCTGTTTGATTATCAGGTTCTACATCATCAAAGTACACATCTAGAGGTAGAACAGAACGATTTTCAAAATAATTTTGTTGTATGTTTCTCCACAGAGGACTTTGCACGATATTTGTAAAGGACTCAGAATTTTGAAGATTTTCAACATTGCTCATTATGGCATTAAAGATATCAGGCAATTCCAAAAACTGTTTTAATGTTTGTTTCATAGAAATAAATTGACCAGTCCATTCAACTGGTGTCAAAGCCAAATTACCTTTAATTTTTTTCATTTTTTCACCTATGCTTATAATATATGACTTGGGACTTATATAACAATGACTCTGTCTCAGGGCATTCACTTGTTGAGTCTCAGTTTCAAGACCAGAAAACATATTGTGGAATTCAGCAAACATAGCATCTAAAGCTTCTATCTCTTCCTGAGGTACATTGTTATTCTTAACTACAGTAAGAGTTTTATCCTTTAACATTTCTAAGAAACCATTTGAAGCAAATTTCTTAACATGACTGAGAATATTCTGTACTTGAGTGCGATTGAGAGTAATGTCATTGTATAACTTGGCAACAAGAGCCAAAGACGACTGAAATAGAATGAGAAATAGAGAATTTTGAAAATTCAAGACAGTTATTTCATGAAATTGTCTAATGTCCACATTGTTCCCTTGCAAATTATTAGGTATATTTTCATTTATAGGCATCAAAGAATTGCCATCTATAGAAGCATTGTCATGATTAATCTCAATGACATTCTCAGGTAATAAGATATTTTCCACTACTTGGACTTCTGAATGGGGTCTGATAGGATGTTTTGTTCTCAAATGTTTCCTGAAAGACTTGACAGAGTCATACTCTCTATTGCAATCATTTTGAGCACAAGTGTAAATACTAAGAACATTAAAAAAATGAATCATCTGCAAATGAGTGCAAAGTGCACCTATTGAGCGCAGAGTTGCATGACATTCACGACAAATATATGACATGCTTCTTACAGCTGATAAAATTAGCCTAAAACCTACATGGAAAATTACGATAAGTTTATAAATACTTTATTCTTTTTTTGAGGCAAGTCCTTTAAGAGAACTTATTAAACTTGCAACTCGAGAGATGTTCTCGTCCTCTTTCAAATATAAATTATAAAAGTAGTGCTGTACAAAATACCATACAACCTTGCACTCTTGAGGATATACTGCGTCTAGAGCATGATATGCCTTTAGACAAGCATCCAGAGCTGCCACTGGTGTTCTCAGCTTGTAACGAATACCATCAATTTGAATATATGTGGCAGTTATGTTTGCCAGTGTCTGTCCGACAACTATAAGGATCGGTTGCAGACGGGCTCCTATGGCATTTAGGTGGGCACAATGCCTTTTAACAGCTCTTCTCAGATCACCTGGAATCTAGAAGTACAGAAAAAACCATTTAGTTCCTAAAAAGGTAGAATTTTAAGAGTGAAAAAAATATTATTTGAACATAATTATTTACAGTCACATGAATAATAAAAAACTTTCTGGCCTCTTGCACTGATGGAATGTAACCTGTGCTCTTCCCTCGTCCTCGCTTGCAGCACAAAGATGGTAGTAGATATAATGTGATAACATCCCGTTTGTCTGCATAAATATTTAGATACGGAATATTACAAGTTGATAAAAAAATGAAAACTAGTGTTCTTACCTGCAGGAGCAGTATGATATTGTTTTAGCAGATCTCTTCCAAAAATATCAGAGATAGAGATCTCGGTCTCTGCTAACTCAATTATTAATTCCTTCGCAATTTCCCACTTTGAGAACAGACCATCCTCCCTTCCTGGAAAAAGTTCCTTAAAGTCTTGATTTAACTGAAAAAATCAATCAATATTCTGTATAGAAAAAGTAAACTTACTATATGTATTTTAAAAAAATTTATATAGTACACTTACTAAAAGGTATCCATTGGGAAGCTTCAAAACATCCCATTTTATTATATATTCATTGACGAGTTGCTCTTCTTCATCTTCACTCTCATCATTTGTATCGTTGTCTTTTTCTTGACCTTTATTGGCTTCACATTGAACCCTTGATCTTGTTTCCAACAAGGTTTTACGCCTAAGAGCATGTGTTACCGACCAATTCATCAACAATGTAGGCCAAGAATCCCGACATTCATGTTTCAGATTTGCAATAGCAGTTTTTATGGTATGGTCTTCTTCATTAATGATTCCTAAAATGATGGGAGAAGATTGCTATTTAAAGACAAAAATCAATCCAGTACCTATTATTTTATTTTTGTACTTAAATTCATCAACTTTCTTAAAACACTATGAATTAATTCCTAAGATAAATGAGAAAATATTCAATGTTATAATACATTAATCATGGTTTACTTTGATTCAAGAAATATTACAAATGAGAAGAAAACCTTACCTTCTAGCTTAGCTGGCTCAATAATTTTCGACTTTTTCAATATTTCCAAGGTACATTGCACTGGAGAAGAAGAAAGGGTTCCAGCACCCTTTTTTTTAAGATTATGTTTAATATTCTTTACCTTATTAGGTAGCTTGCCTTGAGCATTCCTATGCGTTTTGTCAGGAGGAATGTAATAAATAGCCTATGGGACAAAAGAAATTTTTAGTAAATTTGCAATTGCTTAGACACACTATCAATGAAATTTGTAGAAAATAGTTTACTGGATCTTCAGATGGGAAAAGAGCACAGATCTTCTTCACAATTTCTGCATATTCAAACTGGAATGGCCTGCAATTCCACAAAGAATAAACATTAATTTTTATAAGAACGTTCACTGGAGGACTAGCTAACATTGATATTCTAAAATCATTTTTGAGACTTACACATAGTTAATTTTTAACATCTCATGAACTATAGCATTTGTTATTGAAGATCGGTCCCTCTCATTTAGCATCCCCTTCAGTTTATAGTTATCAACTGCTGCCTCTGATTTAAGATCATAATTCGTTAAATATGCCTCAAGATCCTAAAAACAGATAATAATTAAAAACCAACAAAAATTAAAGATGTGTAGAGCAACGATAGAACATTATATACCAGTTCTTTCAAATAAGCAAGGCCTTTGAAAAAAGCTAAACGTTTGTTTGGCTCAAAATTTGACTTTAAGCTTCTTCTCTTTTTAGGTGCTAAGTATTCACTGTTATTATCAGTATCAGATGTTGTACTCTCAATTGTGGAATCGTTGAAACTCCCAGTTTCCGATTTCTTGGCAGTCTCTTCTTTTTTAACAGCCTAGAGAAACAGAATAATGTGAGTTATAGGAATGAGAAACAAGGAGCCCAATGAGGAATGATTAGTCGAAAAGACGTCAAATCAACGACTATTCAATACATTTTATGTCGATTCGACATTGATTTGACATCTTTTCAACCATTATTTCTCACTGACATTGTGAGTGTTTTAGAAACATCAACCTACCAAGTAATTTGACAAAAGTTATCAACTAATTTAGCTATTATAAAAATAACATCGACAAGTGGAAAACATTGAAAAAAGTCACATGGTTTGCTAGGTTAGTATGAAGGTCCTCAAAGCTATATTATTTTTCAAAAAGTTGTATACAACTGTCATATATCATGATTGATGATTATGAACAACACAGATATACACAGTTTATGCATAGTGAGATGACATATGTTAGATAAATACCAGAGATTGTTTTGCTTACTTGATCAATTTCTTCAAGTGTTTCAATTTGTAACACGGGAAGTTGATTATCCTTGTCTATAAACTGACTATTCTCAATACTTAAGATGACTGTCTCATCATTCAAATTACTTAGGTTCTCTGGATTTGTATAACTCTGTTTACTAATCTATAATAGAAAACTCTTACCCAGATAGCAAAATGATGCAAACTTTGTGCAAAATTTGTAACAAACTCGAGCACGCCTTTGTAGCAAAATTGCGACAAGGTGTGTCCGCATTAAGCCT